TCAAGAAATACTTGGAAGGAGTGAAGTGGGAAATTCTGTCCCACCCGCCGTATTCACCAGACATTGCTCCTTCAGATTTCCATTTGTTCCGGTCCATGCAGTCGGCCCTTTCTGGAAAGCGATTCAATTCTTATAAAGGTATGAAAATATGGCTTGATGAATGGATTGCTTCAAAAGTACCAGATTTCTTCCTTCGAGGAATCCGTTTATTACCGGAAAGGTGGGAGAAAGTTGTCGCTTCCGACGGAGCATACTTTGAATAAAGTCACTTTGTATTGTTTTGTTTAAATAAATACATCTTTCTCATTAAAAAAGGACGGAAACTTATTCCCATACCCAATATAATTTAAACATTAAGTATTAAACATTTAAAATAAATATTTAATCTGACGATTGGGACCCCAAATGTAAAAAAAATGTATTATCATCACGAATTTCTCTTGTTCTCGATGAGTTCTACATTTCCTAATAGGTTTTAGTGACAGTTCCGGGCTCCAAGTATTTTTAAACAATTTTTTAATGTGAGCACTGGCACCCAACTACAAGGGTAAATCACGAAACAGCCAGTTCCAGCCAACTTTTTGCCATTTTCCAATAGTTCTGCAATAGTTTTAACGCTTTCTGTAGGTTTTGCTCAGAGTTCTTGCCTTTAAATATTTTTAAACAATTTTTCAATCAGAGCGCTGGCATTGCACCAAGTGTAAAGTACCACGTAACAGTCAGTTCCCGCCGACTTTTTGCTATTTTCCTATAGTTTTGCAATAGTTTCAACGCTTTCGATAGGTCTTGCTCAAATTTCTTGTCCTTAAGTTTATTAAATAATTTTTTAATCTGACTGCTAACAGCATATTTTTGATAAGTATGCGATGCTGATAGTTTCTATCGCTTTATGGCAGTCCTTGATGTTCTCGCATAGCATAGCAGTGATTGGTTTAAAAACAGGAATTCTGATAAAAACCTACTGAAAGCCTTGGAACTATTGCAGAACTATAGGAAAATAGCAAAAGTCGGCTGGAATTGATTGTTATGTGAGCACTTCAATCTTATAGTGGGGTGCTAGACCTAATTGAAAAATTGTTTAAAAATACTTAAAGGCAAGAACTCTGAGCAAAACCTACAAAAAGCGTTGGAACTATTGTAGAGCTATAGGAAAATAGCGAAAAATCGGCGGGACCTGGCTGTTACGTGGTATTTTACCCTTATAGTGGGGTGCCAGTGCTCACACTGAGAGAAAACAAAATAGTTCCAGCAACTATAAATTTGGCAACTTTTGCAATTAAAGTACCTGTAACTAGTTTTGCAAAGTAATAGAAACTAAAGTAGTGCTGAATATTATAAAAATATAGTCACGGTAACAAATTGTATGCACTATTAATTGGTAGTGAAGTAGTGACTCAACCACATTTAGTAGTTACTTGGACTTCATGCAAATAGATATAACAATTACATTTTTCTAGTTTAGACAAAAATTTTTAAAGTGTCGCTCAGTACGAGTAGTACGCGGCTTTGTCACCAGAGGGACCTAGCGGAGTTCAGTTTCTCCTAAGAAGGAAACCACTCGCTTACAATAAAAGGCGCAGCGTTGGTTTCAAACTTGGAAGATAAAAATAAATAAGAAATGCATACACAAATTTGTAACTATGTATTATAAAGCTTTAATAAGAACAATAAGTAAATTAAGTGAACTAAGAAAATATAGTAATATTAATAACCATTTATAAATTATTTATATGCTTAATGTATAATACTATATTTTCTTAGTTCACTTAATCTAGTATTCTTATTAGAATTTAATAATATATATATAGTTGAGGCGCTATTTCACTACAAATTTATAGTAACTGATACGACTTTTTTCTCTGAGTGCACATTTAAAAAATGTTTAAAAATACTTAGAGGCAGGAACTGTAGAACTCTTCGAGAACAAGAAAATTTTGTGATGAAAATAAATTTTTTTGAAACTTGGGGTGCTAACCGTCAGATTAAATATTAAAACATGTTTAAAGAGCAGAACTATTGTTAAAATTTATCAGGAACTGCAGAACTCTTTGAGAACAGTAGAATTTCGTAATAAAAATTAATTTTTATTACGAATATTATTCGAATTAACGATACTTGAAGTGTTTTACGCGAAGTTGGCACTCCATTAAAAAAAATTTTTTTTAGTTGAATCAGCGGAACTACTGTTAAAACCTAACAGGAACTGTAGAACTATTATGGATGCAAACTGTATATAAACTGGGCGGAACTGTGTATAAAATATCGGATTTTTCAAAATGGGATGCCAACTTCACACCGAAATTTAAAAAAAAATTGGTCTGGTGTTACGTTATAAGAATTTTCAAAACTGTCATTTTTCGTCTCCTTAACGCCATTTTCCTGAAAACTATGACGTGTTAACTAAATTTTGTCGATAGATTTGTGTTTAACAGACGAAAATTCGTTAAAAAGGACTATTTACATTCGTATAGCAAAGTGATATTGAAAATGTTATTGCTGGCGATTACTCACCTGGTCCGACATATTGTAACTGTCGTGATGGTACGATGTTTGATGATGTTGTGGAACGTTCAAAGATAAGTCAAAATTGTTTCTCTGTAACAAGCAGAAATGTGGTTCTTTGAGTAACTTGAGAATAGCTTGAATGACAGCTATTAATAAATATTACATTGTGTATTAAACTTTGTGCTTAATTCAGTGGAAATGACTATAGATATAGATAATGCAGGTTTGGAAGCGACTATAAGTGTCAAAAATAGTGATAAAAGTATTATTCTCGAAAAAGTGAGAAAATTATGATTCGGTTAAAAAAGGTGAATCTTCCTGAAAGAAAAAATGAATGTTCCTAAGAATTTGGAATGTTAAAAATTAGTTTATCTATAATGTGCTATTTGCATTTAAATCACATCTTACATCATCCAAGAAATTATAATAAAAATATAAGAAGAGTCGAGACATGAGACTGGAAGGACGCCATTGCTGGGACGTCGTTTACACAACTCACGTTTTCATTAACACAGCGCACGATCTCAAACATGGCGCTGATCAATTCCGAGGGCGAATCGTTCATGTCTCGATTCTTATCATAGTGACTCTAGAAAAATGTAATGATAAAGTACTAAAACATAAATACAGTAATAACGTAAGTATTAAGACATAAATATTGTCTATAATATATAAATAGGATTAAAAGAATTTTAGATACAAAATACGATGGGAGTATAATCAATGTGAGTACGTGCGAGCGAGTACGGCGAGAGAATACGGCGTGCAGATTAGAATTAAGTATAGGACATAAGTATTTAAATTTTGATTTCTTTTGTGTGCGTTGTGAAAATTATTAGATTTAACTGTAATACTGCAATACCATTGTAATTTTCTTTAAATATTCACCATTCAACCTTTTTTTTTAATAAATGTAGCATTCAAATTAAATTCATTATTATGTTTGAACGGTTTTTATTGTTTCATTTTTCGGTCCAGTCGTGCTAAGTGTCTTCAAATGAAAATTTTTTTATTTAAATTTTTTAATTTCGCACAATAGAGTTTTGTTTAAGATTTATATATGATTTGGATTGAGTGAGGTAACAATTTTTAAACATTATAATTTAGCGCCCATCATTGATATCAAATCTTTTATATACGTATTGTTACGTATTGTGATACGTATTGTTCAAATTAAGTAGAATTTTTATTTATAGGATTTTAACTTGGTGGCAAAGATATAAAGTTTACTGTTTATTTGTTTGTTCTTTTTCATAACGCATGTCTTATAAATCCAAATTTATTTATCTTATAAGGGGAGGCTCTGGAGTGACCCTCACCGATTTTAATAAAATTTGGCAGGATTGTAGAGTGTGTTCCCCTGAATAAAAATTACCTCCCATTTGGGCGTAGACGGTCTACCGTTTCCGAGATATTTCAATATTAAAGTTGATAACGCCATTTCCTTAAAGCCGTGTATACACCTAGCGAACGAACAACGAACGAACTGCGAACACGAACATTCGCGTTCATGTTCGTAGTCCGTTCGTACCTTTTTCTCGATTGCATCGAACACGGGCCGAACACCCATTCGATCTTGATTCGGTATTCGGGTCACTGATCGTTGTCGCTATAACCTTGCTTGAGACAACTGATATTTTTACTTGTAAGTCACATAATTACATGATTAACCTAAAGAACCTCAAAGGGAGAGAGTGGCAAATTACATCACTTGAATGCCCGAGTCCAATCAGGACACGTGACCAGTTTCCTCCAATCTCTTCCAAAGCCTATGGAGCTTTGATGCCCGCGTCCAATCAGAGGAGACGGGTCATGTGATGCAGTTTGCCACTCTCTCCCTTTGAGATTCTCTAGATTAAACTTGTACAATAAGTATACCATGGTATATCATGGAGAATAGAGACCAGGAGAACGAACTTAGATGGACGATACAGAATGTTAGTACAGAAAAGGTTATGGTGATTCAGGCGAACAATCAAACAGCGAACACGTGATTTACACGTCTACATCGCGCACGAATCGCGCACAAATTGTCTTTGATGTACCGCTTCATGAGGGAACCGAGTCGAACGCGAATCAAATGTTCGATTCTCATCCGCTTTGACGTATACATCTGCTGAACGCAACCAATGAATGTTCGCGTTCGCTGTTCGTTCGATGTTCGTTCATTAGGTGTATACGCGGCTTTAGAGTTTATTAGAACGTTCATATTCGAGTATTTGTAGCGTAGTGGATATGATAACCACCTCTCTATATAGCATAGAATTTGCAATAATATCGCTGCAAAATCTCCGCAATATTGCTGCAACTTTTGTACAATATATTGCAGAGATTTTGCTGCAATATTGCTGTAAATTCTATGCTGTATGGGGAGATCGTTATTATATCCATTACGCTACAAATATTTGAGTAGGGACGTTCTAATAAACTCTAAAGGAAATGCTGTTATCAATTTTAATATTGAAATATCTTGGAAACAGTAAACCGTCTACGCCCAAATGAGGGGTGATTTTTAATCAGGTGAATACACTCTACAATCCTGCCAAGTTTCATTGAAATCGATGAGGGTCACTCTGGAACTTCCCCTTGTTAAACTTAAACCTAATAGCTCGCACAGCTTTCGTGAGGTAATTTTTAAAAATTATAATTTAGCGCCCATTATATATATATATATTGATATCAAATCTTTTATATACCTGATACATATCAAATTAAGTAGTAAGTTCAAATTAAGTAGAATTTTTATTTATAGGATTTTAACTTGATGGCAAAGATAAATTAAATATGTTAAAGATATGTTAAAAAGAATGTTCCTTAAACGTTGTAAAAATGTTCCAAAATGATTTGAAGCAAATGTTTATAAAACGTTTTTATAATGTGTAAAAAACATTCTTTTAACGTTTAAATAAACGTTTTTTTAATGAAAAAAAAAAAAGGAAATTATCCCATTATTTTTAATGTTTTTAAAAACGTTTTTAGAAACGTTTTTTTAATGTCAAAATTATTTGAACAAAATTAGAAAAAATAGCAATGTAAAATCTTTTTTTTAATTAATTTTTTTTTTCAACAGTGCCTAAATCTAGATAACTAATTCTAATAATTATTTCTAATTTTTATAACTATCGGCAAATGGCAAAAAATCGGCTGGAACTGGCTATTATGTGATACTTCACTCTTATAGTGGAATGCAAATGCTCACATTAAAAAACTGTTTAAAGATACTTAGAAGTCGGAACACTGATCAAAATCTATAGACAGCGTTAGAACTAACTATTGCAGAACTATGTATAGGAAAAAACAGCAAAAAGTTCGCGGGAACTTGCTGTTACGTAATACTTTACTCTTGTGGTGCTGTAACAGCGTTCTGATTGTAAAATTGTTTAAAAATACTTAAAGGCAAGAACTCTGAGTAAAAACCTACCGAAAGTATTGGAACTATTGCAGAACTATTGGAAAATAGCAAAAAGTCGGTTGGTTCTGGCTGTTTCGCAATACTTTACTCTTGTAGTGGGATGCCAGTGCTCACATTGAAAAATTGAATAAAATTGCATATTACCGACGATCTCACAGATTTCAATGATCTTGATATGTTGTCAAGATCATGACCTTGAGTGACCATCAACAGATTTTAGACAGCATGTATTTTTGTTAAATTCAATCATGGAATTCATCCATAAGCCTCTAAAGGAAGTTTAAAACTTAAATTTAACTTAACTTCCTTTAGAGACTCATGGATGGATTCCATGAATGAATTTAACAAAAATACATGCTGTCCTAAGTCACCCATATTTACGGTATATTTTAGTTAAGTGAGGGGAATAGTTACGAGTATGGAGTTAGTGATTTTTAATATTGACAGTGTATATCGAAACACAGCCAATGTATGTCTAGTCTACCCTATCTTTCATTTATTTTATATCTAACCAAGGAAAGTTTTTTTTTGACAACACGTTTCAGACAATAAATCAAAATAAAAATCAAAATGATTTTATTTTGATTCTTAACGTCAATATAGAGTCCAATTTTGTAACAAAAAATCATTTAGACTTTCAAGGCGTTAAAATAAAGTCCTTTTCACTTTCTCTTGACTTGATGCTTGGGTAATAGATATGTAACAAATGTAATGTAGAGATAAAGAAGCGTAAAAGAAAATGTTTTAAAACGCATAGATTTCAGTGAAATATAAAAGATAAAATTTCTAAGAATATGCAGATTTGATTATAGTATTTTCTTAATATTGACTCGACTGTTATTATATTGCGTATCAAAATGATCGACTGCGGTATCAAAGCGATGATTAGAATGCGCGATGAAATTTAAGAAAAGCATACATCCGTAATCAAGATAGTTGCAAGTAAGTTATGCCGATAGGTAATGTTTGACATTTCATCATAACGGCCAGACATTAACTGGATGTTACCGCGTTTCAATGAATGCAGACGCTAGAAACGGTAACAATGCAATAGACATAGCTACCTTCGTTCCTCGAGGAATTCAAAGCTGTGTATGTGGGTCATGTGTGTGTGTGTGTGTGTGTGTGTGTGTGTGTGTGTGTG